CTTCTGTTTCCATCTGTTCAGTGTGTCTTTGATGAAGCTGTGAGGACTGAGGTTTCTCTTCATCATCTTCACTCTTCACAGGGACAGGAGTGGATGTGAACTTGGTGATATCATCCTCCTCCAGCCCTTGAAGCTGCTCTCCCTCCTGACTGATCCAGAGTTCCTCCTGTTCCTCTTTAATGTGTGGAGGCTCTGGGTCCTCCTGGTCCACACTGGAGCTCCACTCCTGCTGCTCAGGGGGAACCTCTTCTTTAACCACCAACAGCTGCTGGACGTCTGCAGGAAACAGGAAACACACACACACACACACACAGCAGTCATTAACATGTACTGTTACTCTTGTCATGTCTGGAGGCTACAGTGTGGCTCTTTATTTGCTCAGGCTGAAGTGAATTATGTGAGAATGATTGTCCATGGGATGTGAGAGTTTGCCGCAAATCATGTTTGATTACTGGCAGCCTGAGTAAATAAAATGCTGGTGTTGTGTCAATGAGTATGCCCATCGAAATCTGTTTCCCCCTTACCAAAACCCCGCCCAAACGGCGAATGGTAGGGATGTTCCTGTCCACTTAACGAAAATTATAACGAGGACTAGTCAACTAGTCTGAAAAATGGAAAACACTCAGCCAAAATTTAGCACAATTTATTGTTAAGTATTTGAAACATTGTCCCAAAAATACTGTATGCATCAAGAGCCCTTTGAAGCCTTTAATCACAATCTTCAACAACCATGGCGGATTTTAAATGCCGCTGAAGTACGAGACACTTTGCGGCGTGCGCTATGAACGTGAACATAACGGCAACTCAGTCAAAAGATAACCACCAAAATAAAAAATAAATAAACTGCCTCTGAAATGTGGGGCATAGAACAGAAATGATAGCAATTCACTTTAAAGTTAATAAAACAAGATTACAATTATAAATAAATTTCAGCTGAAATGAGAGGCATTTTGCTCCGTGCAGTATGAACGTAAACCTGCACACTATCTGACAACAACTTACTACTCAAAAAAGATTAATTGCTGCTGAATTCATTTTCTACATCAAAGTACTGCCAAACTGCGCTGGTTTGGCGAGGACATCGCCCTTATTTCCCACCGTGCAGTTTTATAACTCCAGTCTGCTCGAGCATTACCCGGGGAGGGGAACTGCTGTCTGACGGCTCTGTAGCACCCACTAGTGGCGAGAGGCTGCATGACATTTAAGACGCCTTCTACATGAATAAAACACTAATTGGTTTACCGACTAATATTTCTGGTGTCGACTAGCATATTCTGCTGCACCTGTGAGAGAGAGAGAGAGCAGGTCTCAGAGCGAGTATGTGAGAGAGCAGGAGCAGCGTTTACTGAATTGCAGAAAAATATTTCAGCTTGTTTTCAACTTCCCGGTGAGTTCTGATATCTGTCAGAGGCTGTAACTGGCTCATACTACCACCGAGCCAGCAGCCGGAGTAAGCCCGAAGTGAAGCCGGGCACTCCACCGTGCGAGCAGCTACCACCATCCAGCTAGCAGCCGGAGCTTGCCCGAGTGAAGCCGGCATTCCACCGAGCGAGTGGCTACCACCACCGAGCGAGAAGCCGGAGCGAGCCCGAGTTAAGCCGGGCCCTCCACCGAGCCACCGAGCAAGCAGTCGGAACTAGCCCGAGTAAAGCCGGGCACTCCACCGGGCTACTTAGCGGCTACCGTCAAGCTTGCGGCACGAGCTGGCGAGCGGCTACCATCCAGCTTGCGGCAGGAGCTGGCAAGCGGCTACCATCGAGCTTGCGGCAGGAACTAGCGAGCGGCTACCATCGAGCTTGCGGCAGGAGCCAGCGAGCGGCTACCATCAAGCTTCTAGCAGGAGCTAGCGAGCGGCTACCATCGAGCTAGCGGTTTCTACCCCGGCTGTTTCCCGCAGTTTCCCACTGCCACTGCTTGGCTACCTGTTACCTCTGCCTGCCTGACCAGGTACGCGAAAATGGGACCAAAGCAGCAGAAAAACACTGATGAGGAGTATGTATCGCAGCAGAAAGACATGTTCACTGCTCTATTACAGCAACAACAAGACATCTTTAAAAACTTTGTTAAAGTCATTTTGGACTCGACTAACTCCAGGTTGGATGCAATCACGAAAGAAGTGCAGGATCTGAAATCAAGCATACAATTCACACAGAAAGATGTTGATGAACTGAAGATCACTCAAGCAAAACAGTCAGATCATTGCAACATAATTCAAACAGACATTATGAAGTTATGTGAAAGTCTACAGGTCATCCTGGACAAGCAAGAGTACCTGGAGGGTCAATCAAGGGGGAACAACATCGTGATTGACCTGAAGCCCCAGGTGAATCTTGGGCGGATTCAGAGGAGAAAGTAAAAGACATGCTGAAGCAGAAGTTACAGCTACAGAGGGAGATTGAGGTGGAGCGTGCACACCGCACAGGTAAACCTGAAGCTGCCAGAGAAAGACCAAGATCCATAGTTGTCAAGTTCCTGCGTTTCAAGGACAAGGCTGCAGTCATGCAAAGAGCCAAGAACCTTAAGGGTACTAAAATATTTATCAACGAGGACTACACAGACGCCATACGGTTAAAGAGAAAAGAACTGATACCAAAGATGAAAGCTGCACGTGAAAAAGGAGACATCGCCTACCTCAGACATGACAGACTGATCATCCATCCTCGCACCAGCACGCCATGCTAAGCTGTGTATGAATGAAGGTATGCCAACAAAAAAGACTCCTCTAACACTTTTATGACTAACACAATCACATCACAACACAAACAATCAAAGAGAGGCTTGCGTATCGCACATATTAACATAAACAGTCTAAGAAACTAAATAAATGAAGTCACTGAACTGCTATCTGAACATAAATTACACATACTTGCTATTTCAGAGACTCATCTGGACTCTTCCTTTGAGGACAGTGAGCTAGATATCAGAGGTTACAACATTTACAGAAATGACAGAAATAGATATGGTGGAGGAGTAGCTTTTTATGTTCAGAATCAAGTGCCTGTGAAAATAAGTACTGATATGATGCAATACGACATTGAAATATTATGGATACAAGCTCATCTACCTCATCGAAAGCCTATACTCCTAGGTTGCTGTTATAGACCACCTAGTGCCAATAATGAATATCTTGATGCAATTTTTGAAATGTTGGATAATAATAATGTTGTGGGTCTGGATATTTACTTCATGGGTGATTTTAACATTGACTGGTTTGCTCAAAATTGTCCTCTGAAGAACAAAATGCAAACTGCAACAAATACACGTGGACTTACTCAAATCATAAATAAACCTACTAGAATATGTGTGAAGAGTGATGGCACCAAAACATCTAAGTGCATTGATCATGTTTTTACAAATTCTCCGGCGAATAAAGTGTAATAAAATATTGTCTGTGCCAATTGGCAGCAGCGATCATAATCTGATCATAGTTGTTGGAAACACTAAACTAGACCTGGACCCACAATAATACTTAAAAGGTCAAACACATTGTTTAATCATGATTTATTTATTAATGATGTGAAAGAAATCTGTTGGTCAGAAGTGTTAACAGCAAACAACCCTGAAATTGCCCTGTTGAAGTTCAACAATTTATTTTTGCCTCTGGTGGAGAAACATGCACCATTAAAGAAGTTTACTGTCAGGAATGCCAAAACACCCTGGTTAGACAAAGAAATTAAAGACGCTATGAAAATGAGAGATCAAATGAAAAAAACAGCAATTATAACAGGAAATAAATGTGACTGGGACCTCTATAGGAAAATGAGAAACTCTGTTACCAAACTTAACAGGAAAAAAAAAGAAAATATATTTTGAAGATCGAGTTAAGGAAGTGGGTAATGATAGTAGAAAACTATGGAATATCCTAAATGATCTGACAGGTAGGAAAAACAAAACAAATCCATCCTTTTTGGAGACAGATGATAAGTTTATTACTAAGCCCAGGGAAATTGCAAATTATTTAAATGATTATTTTATAAACAAACTAGAAAAACTAAGAGAAAATATGCCTAATCTAAGTAATGATATATCTCACCTATTAATTAGAAATGAAATTATGAATAGTAAAAACTCCAAGTTCAAACTGGAGAATGTAAACACAAATAAGGTAAAGGATTTCCTGAAAAACTGTAAAGATAAACCACCGGGTTTTGATGGCCTTGACAGCAGGCTTCTCAAACTGGCTGCTGATGAGATTACCCCTGCATTAGCTCATATAATTAACTTAACTTTTGAGTGCTGTACATGTCCACAAGCTTGGAAACAGGCAAAAATAATTCCGCTGCCTAAGAATAAGAAACTGCCTTTTTCAGGCTCAAACAGTCGTCCTATCAGTTTGTTACCTGTGTTAGGAAAAATTACGGAAACAATTGTATATGAACAAATTAATGACTATTTATCTACTAATAACATAATTTGCAACTCTCAACATGCATACAGAAAGGCTCACTCCACGGCAACGGCACTGACTAGCATGTCTGATGATTGGCTTGGAGAAATTGAAAAGAAAAATATGGTTGGTGTTGTATTTCTAGATTTCTCAGCCGCTTTCGATATAATTGATCATCATTTACTACTAGAAAAACTGTCCTGCTATGGATTTGAGCAGTCTGCACTTACTTGGTTTCACAGCTATCTATCAAACAGGACACAAACAGTGTTTTTTAATGGCAGCTATTCAGGAACCAGAACCACGATATGTGGAGTACCCCAAGGGAGTTGCCTTG